GAAGGTGGAAGGATATGCTAGCCCAATGTCAGGCCTAGCCCAAGGAACTCCTGGAGACCGTGTAGGGTCAATCAGCAAGGTTTATTACAGAATTTTTTCAGACTGACCAGTAGTTCCCAGGCACAACTCTCTACTATCTTCTGGAATGTTTAGGGATGCGCCAGCTTTCTCCGCTTATCTCCAGAGCGTTGCTCTGGAAACGAGAGCACCGTTTTCACCCCCCTTCCTCCATTCCAGTTCATCACACCCAACCACTGAGTTGACCAGGACCGAGGAATGGATGGGGCTAGGAAAAATGTATGCTTCATTTCAATTCACTGAACTAATGAATTACAGTTAAAATTACGATTCCCCGTGTATCTAAATAACTTCTCCCCTTTTCTTTCCAGTGTAAAAACGACAATTCAGCAGCAGTTTCTGAAGAGGCTGCATCCAAGCCATTTAAGCAGCTGTACGCCCCTGCTCTACCAGGAGAAATGAGGCAAAGCCACCAACATTCAGGCATAGTAGTGAAAGCAAGGGTCTTATTCTTTCATGTGAACTTGTCAAAGCGGGCCCCACTGCTTTAAAGGGATGTTTGCTGAGAATCAAAAAGATGGCTTGGAGCAGTGCGTCTTCTCTGTCAAGCTCCCTGCTTCTTCTATTAGATTCTGGAAAGAACGAACATGGCCATATCTTCCAGTGGCTAGAACTAACACATGTGCGTGCATTGCAAACCCATTCTCCCCTTCTGACATTTATTTCCCTGCCCTTCTGGCAGGAGTGGCCTTTATCAGCTACAGCCACTTGTCTGATCAACTGAAGGACCGGATTTATTCTAACCTCAGCTGTTCTCGTGGAAAATACAATATTTCTACATCTCCATCGCATCCAAAGGAAAGGAATAATAAAAGAATACGTCTCAGCATCTAAAGAGTCTTGGAATCCAAAAGCCAATCTCACAGTTGCTGTCAGAGATGGTGTGGCCTTAATTCTCCTCACTCTCTCCATAATGGAAATAACTTTGCCGTGTGACATCAATATGCTGCATTTCCTGCATACCCCTCCCCATCACTGGCAACTGAATTTCGAGTCTGAAATATAAAATATTCTTATTTACAACCAGACTATGCAGAAGGCACAATTGCTGTTTTTTTGTGATGGCTGTGCATTTCATGCATTCTTTAGACATGGGAATATGTGAATCAACCCTCTGCAATTAGTCCATTTATACAAATAAGAACAGACAATGGCACAACCATTATTTTCCCTGCTCCTAACGAATTACCTTTTCTGGCTGTTTTCTCCAAGTAGGGGAAATTGTTTGTGTCCCCTGACCCGACTTTAAAAAATGGAACATCCAGTTCATGCAGAAATTCTACAGCCATCTATTGAGAAAGACACATAAAAGCAAAAACAATTATTCCTTCCATCAAAAATGAAACAAAAGCTCCAACTAGAGGAATGGTCCTACTAAAAAATTCAGGAAAGCATTAAAAGGCAGCTATAGCCACACCAAAACATGAAAAAAGGGAATTTGCTTACTGTCTATAATACAGCAATCCATAAAAGTAATGAAGAAGGAGAAGGAATTCCAGGAAAACTAATTCAAGCAATCAGTAAATGCTTCTGGGTCAGAAAACTAACTCGGGACCAACAATCTCTGTTTAAACTTTGTAAATATAGCAGAAAGATATAATAACACTAGTTAATTTGCATTTCTGAAAAGTTTATCACATAACAAGGTAACAAACTGGCTAAAAGCCTAACCTGGCCCCACAGTTCTTCTTTGGTCCACATCATGGCTCTTGATGTTGATCATATTAAACTTCCATCAATTTGGGTTCCATTCTCTAAAGTCAAAACCCAATGGGCTCTGGAACTCTAACCCCACTTGTTAAAATCCCTTTATATTATATTTAGAATATATTATATTCTGCTACCCTCTCCCATGCGGGTAGAAAGACTAAAGGCTCTGGGAACAAGCAGATGAAACGTGTAAGGATTTGCAGCGCCCACGCCAGGGAAGAAGCAAGAAGTTCAGTAAGTGTATCAGTAAGTCCTGGGAGTGTTATTACAGGAAGTGTCTGCCCACCATTGATTGTGGGGCAAGTTCAGAAGCTGCAGCTCCTTTTTAACCCCAAACTCCAAACCCGCATCTCCCTTACTTCATCCATGCCCGATGCGGTAAAGAAGATGCCAATCTCCCGAGCGTATCGCTTCAGCTCTCGGTACTGATCGTGACTGAACTCCAGGTGGCGCTTGTGCTCCCCATAGGTTCTCCCCCAAGAGTGCTTGGAGGTGTATGGCCTCTCCAAAGCTCTCCGGTTGAATTTATGCTCCAATTCGCTTTTCTGGAACTTGGCACAGTCCGCTCCACAGTCCTACAAAGAGACAGCCCCAGCAAAACGTTCATAAGGCTGCTTAACATGCCACCCCACCACAAAGAATGCTACAGGTGCCACTTTGGACGATATGCAGTAAGTCCCATATTGACCATCAGG